TCAGTTAAATATTCGCCGTATATCGATTGTGTGTAATAATGTGTATGCGATTTCTACCATGTTACTACTTTATTATATTTATGTTTTTATATTTATATATTTATATGTATAACTGAATGTTTGTAAGTCTTTGCCTGACCCTACCTGTAATTCAGAGAAATCTGCGAATGGTGGAAATAAACAAATATTATTATTATTATTATTATTATTAAGGAAAGGCGAAGGGCAGAGAAAAAATGGCGTCGGATTGGCAGTGCTTCTGATTTTTTGGAATTTAAATCTAAGAGGAATTACACCACTTATCTTACGAATACTGCACGTCCTGAATTCTTCAAGGAATTCATTGATAAGAACAGTTCCAATCCGAAGGATTTGTTCACGGCAACAAAGAAACTACTGAAGCATGATCATGATGTTCCTTTCCCGTCATCTGATAATGAATTAACTCTTGCCAATGAAATGGGTACTTACTTTATTGATAAGATCAGAACGATTCACGCTAAGCTCGATAAATTAACACCAGCATTATCAGAAGTTTCTAGTGACGATACTGAATCATGTTCTGGTGTTTTGATTTTAAACCATTGTCAGAGGGAGATGTGCGTAAACTCATTGAAAGTTTTCCTAAGAAAGTTGTACTTTGGATCCCATGACAACGTCTTTAGTGATTAACTGTATTGACGTGCTTCTTCCAGTTATTACTAAAATCATTAATCTGTCCCTGGAGTCTGGTTCGTTTGCATCAAACTGGAAATGTGCACTGGTTAATCCGTTATTAAAGAAGACTGGTCTTGATCTGGTATTTAAGAACTATAGGCCAGTAAGTAACGTACAGTATGTGTCAAAACTAACTGAAAGAGCTGTCTTTAATCAGTTGCATGAACATATGATGGCAAATGCCATTTATCCCTTGTTCCAGTCTTTATATAAACAATATCACAGTACTGAGACTGCATTACTGAGAGTAATGAATGATATTCTTCTAAAGATGAATTCCCAGCATGTATCTCATGATATGTTGCTCGATCGTTTGCATAATGATGTTGGTCTACGTTGGAGTGCTCTCAATTGGTTCTACTCCTATCTTTCTCAAAGAAGTCAGCGAGTCTCTATACATGGTACTCTGTCAAATTATTTCGACTTGGACTGTGGTGTTCCACAAGGCTCTTGCCTTGGACCTTTATTATTCGTAGTTTACGCGCCTAAGCTATTTACTATCATAAAGAAAGATCTTCCTAACGTGCATTCTTTTGCCGATGATACGCAATTGTATCGTAGTTTTAAGTCTGATGATAAGTCCGGTCTGGATGGAGCTATTATTGCTATGAATAGATCTATCAGTGACTTAAGAAATTGGATGATTAGGGATAGGTTAATGATTAACGATGATAAAACTGAGTTGATATTAATAGGAACTAGACAACAATTAGGTAAGATCAATGATGTATGTAATATCTCTGTAGGTGATTATGATATTTATCCTAGTTCCTGTGTTAGAAATCTAGGTGCATGGTTTGATAATAAGTTGTCAATGTCAACACATATTACTTAAATCTGTAATGCCGCGTTTTATCACCTACATAATATTAGGAGGATTAAGAAGTATTTATCTCGTGATTTGTTACAAACGCTTATTCAGGCTTCTATCACTAGTCGTCTAGACTATTGTAATGGACCTCTCTTTGGCCTTCCTAACTCGCAAATAGTTAAATTTCAACGTGTGCAGAATGCTGCAGCTAGACTTGTACTGAGCCGAAGTAAGTACTCGCATATTTCTCCCGCGCTTTATCAGCTTCACTGGTTACCAGTACAACATCGTGTTCATTTTAAGATCTTAATTTTAACATTTAAAGCTATTCATGGATTGGCGCCTAAGTAAATCATAGAACTAATTAGCATTAAGCCTAGGTCTATATATAATCTTAAATCAAATCAAAGTTTATTGCTAGATCCTCCTAAAGGGATAATGCTTGTCAAGTTAGGTGACAGATCTTTCTCTGCTGCTGCCCCATATTTATGGAATACTGAGTGTGCCGGCTGAATTACGTGATATTCAATCATTAGCTGTTTTTAAATGTAAGCTGAAAACTTATTTATTTCGTGCAGCTTTTACAACGTAACCTGTTTGACATTCACTTCACTTATTATTATTATTATTATTATTATTATTATTATAATTATTATAATTATTATCATTATCATTATTATTATTATTAAAGCACAAAAAATTATTTATTATTTCTAGCAGTTTTAAGCTGATTTCTAATTAGTCGTGGCTAGATGGAATCCCTCAGAAGGAGGTGATCGAAAAGGACTAGAAACGAGAGTTGCTTCGGCAATCGGCTCGTGAGACAAGATGGTGCGTCTCGCGATCTACTTGCAATTTCTGACAAAATTTCAGAATAAAGAACCTCGACCTCTTGTGTTCCTTAAACATAAGGAATCTTTCGATACTAGGAGTATAAGGGATCAAAACCTCACAATTACTAATATGGAATCCCTCAGAAGGAGGTGTTTATTTCAACTTGTAAACGGAATCCCTGAGAAGGAGTTAGTTGGCATCCCTCAGAAGGAGGTACACTGTATTTATATATAATGTTTAACTTGTAAATAGAATCCCCCAAACGGAGTTTGGCATCCCTCAGAAGGAAGTACACTGTATTTATGTATAACCTGTAAATGGAATCCCTCAAAAGGAGTTTAGCATCTCTCAGAAGGAAGTACACTTTATTAATGTACAACTTATAAATTGATGGAATCCCTCAAAAGGAATTTGGCATCTCTCAGAAAGAGGTACACTGTATTTATGTATAACTTGTAAATGGAATCTCTGAAAAGCAGTTTGGCATCTGTCAGAAGGAGGTACCCTGTATTTATGTTTTACTTGTAAGTACAATCCCTCAAAAGGAGTTTGGCATCTGCCAGAAGGAAGTACACTGTATTTATGTTTTACATGTAAGTAGAATCCGTCAAAAGGAGTTTGGCATCTGTCAGAAGGAAGTACACTGTGTTTATGTATAACTTGTAAATTGAATCCCTGAAAAGGAGTTTGACATCTTGTAATAAATTGCGTACCCTCTGAGAAAGCTCTCATTACCCACAATGCTATTAGAGATAAAGTTGTCCTTGGAACCCGCCATGATGTGTGCTGCTTAGTTCGAGTCATGCAGTTTGATTAGTATATTACAGTTTGGCGACGAGGTGAGAACAAATTTCCTCAAACATCAACAGTGCAAGGTTTTGGGACAACGCTGTGTGTCTTGTGGAGTACAGAATGACCAGCACTGGACTGTTTGGTAGTGTCGGCGAGTTCATCGCCGAGCGTGAAACGTTTAATGCATACGTGGAAAGAATGGAAATGTTCTTCACGGCGAATAATATCGTTAAGACAACAGGTGTGGGTGGCACTCAAGCAAATCGAGTTGTAGCTGAGAGAAAACGAGCTATATTACTCACAGAAGTTGGAGCCGAGGTCCATTCAACCCTCAGTAATCTACTAGCGCCCACTAAGCCCAAAGATACACCATTCGTTGACATTGTAGGTGTCCTGCAGAAGCATTACAACAGATCCAAAACCGCTGGAAATTGCGCAAAGTTTCCATTTTGGAACCCGAAATCAGAAGTCCGGAGAATCTGTTGGGGATTACGTGTTAGCATTGAAGAGATTGGCTATTCACTGTAATAACGGTGAATTTTTGGATCGAGCGTTACGTGACCGATTTGTTTGCGGACTGAGCAACCCGAAGATTCAAAATAAACTATTGAACACGGAGGACCTGACGTTTGAGAAAGCTTGTAGGATTGCCAAGGCTACGGAGATGGCCGAAAGAAACACACAGGAGTTTCACCCTACCATTAGTGAAAGTCCTCAAGTGAACCTGTTGACTGCGCAGGACAACAAAAACACTAATCATGAACAATGTTTTAGGTGTGGTGGTAATAATCATTCAGGTCAGTCTTGTAAATTTAAGTCTGCAAAGTGTTTTCGGTGTTCTAAGATCGGTCATCTAGCATCTGTCTGTCGTAGCAAAAGTGAGCGAAAGAAGGGCACAGTCCATAACTTACATATATCTGAATCAAGTGATGATGAATTAGAAGTTCACTCATTGTATTCGCTAGACACAAACAGGCCTAGTCCCGGTGGTTATTCGGTAGAAATGTTGATCAATGGGAAACCATGTAAAATGGAGGTAAATACTGCTGCAGACTATTCCATAATGGCACACAGTGTATATCTGGAGAAGTTTGCAGACACACCCCTAAGTCCATCTAAGGTAGTACTTCGTACGTACACTGGTGAAGTGCTTGAGGTGTCGGGTGAAATGCAGTGCAATGTTATTTATAAGGATAAACACTATTAGTAGTCGTAGTTAATTACAGTAGCAAACCTAGGTTACTTTGTACAAATTGGCTGCGTCAGATACAATTGGCATGGGGAGAGATCTAGTGTCTCTAATGAAAACCCAATCAGTGCAGAGGGTCAACTAAGTAATCTGCTGTCAAAGTATCATGAATTATTTACCGACAATTATGAGGGCATGAAGGGGCTTGAGGCACATATCACTATGAAAAGTAATGTAAAGCCTATCTTTGTGAAAGCACGTTGAGTCCCTTATGCTCTGAAGGTGCAAGTAGAGAAAGAGTTAGACAAACTTGAGACACATGGGGTGATTAAGAAAACTGACAAGTTGAGTTGGGCAAGCCCAATTGTGGTAGTCCCAAAGTTCGACAACACTGTGGGAATTTGCGGAGATTATAAGGCGACCATTAATCAGTCTGTGGAGGATGAGCCATATGTCTTGCCCACTACTCAGGATTTGTATACTGCTCTTGTCAGTTCAAAGGTATTTAGCAAACTCGATTTATCACATGCGTATGCACAGCTGAATGTTGACAAAGAAAGTCAAGAGTATTTGACTATTAGCAGCCACAAAGGTCTGTATTCCTATTTCAAACTACCTTATGGTGTCAAGTCATCCCCAAAAATATTTCAGGCAAAAATGGATCAGATTCTCCAGGGAATTGAGAAATGTGTATGTAAGCAGGATGACATTTTGGTTGGTGGGAATGATTGGCAAGAGAATTTTAAGATACTTGCAGACGTTTTGGACAGGTTACACAAGTACAATTTGCATTTGAAACTGTCCAAATGTGAGTTTTTGAAACCTGAATTGGTCTACTTAGGCCTAAAAATCAGTGCTGTAGGTCTGCAACCAGTGGAAGACAAAATCAATGCACCCACCCCTCGCAATGTAAGTGAACTGAGATCTTTCCTAGGCATGGTGCAATGCTATCATTCTTTCCTGCCAGGGCTAGCCACAATGCTCGCACCCTTGCATAAGCTTTTGCAAAAGGGCACGAAGTGGGAGTGGACACACGACTGCCAGAAAGCTTTTGAAACCTGTAAAGAGGGCCTAACTAGTGATTCATTGTTAGTCCACTATGACCTGAATCGGTTAGCCTGTGATGCATCAAGTGATGGCCTAGGAGCAGTGGTAAGTCATATTACGGACGACGGTCAAGAAAGGCCAATAGCCTATGCCTCCCGTACTCTAAGCTCGAGCGAGAGAAACTATGCACAGATAGAACGCGAAGCTTTGTCCATTGTGTACGGGGTTAAAAAATTTCATCAGTTCCTATATGGACGAAAGTTTACACTAGTGACAGATCACCAGCCCTTGCCAGCATTGTTAGGCCCAAAAGTAGCCATTCCCACAATGGCGGCTGCCCGTATGCAGCGATGGGCCATTGTCCTTTCTGCATATGATTATCAAATTGAGTACAGAAGGTCAGAAAAACATAGTAATTGAGATTTATAGTGTGAGCGCTATTGATGAGGACTTCCCAATAACAGCAAAGGATATTGGGAAGGCCACTGTGTTGGACCCATTGCTTAGTAGAGTACTCCATTTTGTCATGACAGGATGGCCAGAAAAATGTGATGAAGAAGAACTAAAACCCTATCACATTCGTAGTCAGGAGCTTTCCTGTGAACAAAGCTGTGTTTTTTGGGGCTCTAGAGTGATTATTCCCCAAGTGTTTAGAGAGAAAATGTTAAAAGGATTGCACTGGGAACACCCTGGCTCCTCTGCAATGAAGGCCATAACCCGCACATGTATGGTGGCCAAAGATGGATGAAGAAATCGAAAAAGAAGTGAAAATATATTATTGTGTACAGTTTGCCAGAATGTAAGGAGTTCCCCACCCAGTGCTCCTTTGATACCTCCCAACGTTGACGGTTCCAGACTCAACAAACAATACTGCGCCGACCATACAGTTGCGAAAAATCGGAATTTGTAGCCTTATAAAAGAGAAAGGAGTTATTCGGTAACGGAAGGCGTTTGTAGCGTGGTAAGCAGTTCTGACCCACAAACCGCGAAAACAAGGAACGTTTCCACCATCTTTGATAAAACGCGAATGATAAATGTTGTAGTGGAAGATTTTGAAATCGAGCATGATATTTGAGAACTTTGGGGATGTTGTCGGAACAGAGGTATCTTTAGCGATACAAGCGTTCAAAATGGTTTTCTTACGACAACGCTGTGTTCTACGGAACTTTGAACCAATTTACGGAAATGGAAACTCCACGTTCTCCATGACGGTGCAGTTGAGGCGTTTTATGGTGGCTATTTCTGTCGGTGTTCCTGTTGCTCAGTGGAAAAGGAGATCTACCGTTTCCGATTATCCCTGACTAATTTCCCCTTGCAAAAAACCGTCAGATGGGTGTGCAAACTCAGGACAATAGTCTGGTACTAAATAGCTGTGAAGGCTTATTATTTGCAGTGAATTTGCGAGTTTTTGTGAGCAATATCGGTACTAAATATAAATGCGATCACAATGAACGAGACCACAAGTTGTTTTGCGGTGATTGTGGCAATGGATATCCTAATCATCCTCAAGGCCGAATTATCCATAGTTAGTGTCGATTGCTATTGTTGTTTTGCTGTGAGATGGTGTGAGCTTGAAATACTTCAAAAGTACCTATAATGCCGATCAAATATTGTTATAAATAACGCTGGATTCATACATTGTATTAATCTCACTTCAGACACTACTGTAATTAACTGCATTTAGAAGATTTATCTTAGCCGATCTCATTTATCATCCCATAAAATGGAGCATGCATAACCAGGCTGAAAACCAAGATTAAAATTGCAGGTGAAGAAAAAAAACCGACACATTATGTACCGACCCTAAAAAAATTATTCTTTCTGCTTCTCCCTGTAACTCCCAAGAACTGATTAGTGATTCTCCTTTCTGGCTGCGACACATTTTCTTGTAAAATATATAGGTAAGAGAATTTGGGATTTTATCTTAATAGCATCCCCAGGCAAATGGCTGCATGCATTTGCCTATTGTCATCATCTGCTTGGCATCGTATTGGATTGTTCTCTAACTACTGTCGGTGCAGCTCTGATAAGTCCGCCTGCAATTCAATACAGGTATTATAGGGAGAAGTACATGCCAATCACTTGTGGGAGTTAATTGGTTTTAGGACTCCATCTGTCCTTCTACAGCGTATATACGGGGAGGCTTCGCCAGAGAGAGGTACCTTTTCAGGGTTTGAAAGATTAGGGGTTTCGTTAGTTGAAGTACATGAATGAAAGGGTAGCAAAAGCTGTCATTTCGATCTGTGAAAGGACCAAAAAGGCTTACAGACGCATTTTCTTTCTGGTTTGGTGATTCTTTCATATTCAAAAGACGGTGCCTTTACAGCAGTTAAAACGGAAGCAGTAGTGTTCTAAACTAGGACCTACGGTGAAAGGGGTACCATTTGTCAATAGAAGGTATACGAAAAAGGTACCTTTTCTGAAGCTTGGTCGGGGCGGAGCCCGCTCCGTATAAAACTTCGAATTCGCTGGGTACTCCATCTCCGGAGTACCCAGCCCCAAATTTTGCATAACCATTTTCTTCGATTTCTCTTCATCTTATGTGAAATAAAGACCAGTATCATTATTTAACCTCAATTCAACCTCGTAGACGCAGTGTTTCGGTGGTAAACGATTTGCTTCAGTTTTCGAGGAGCTACTTGTGAGTACAGTTAATACCAAGAAAAAAAACAAAAGAAACCAATACTGCCTTACAGCCTTGCATGCAGTTTTCGATTTACAACAGGCCAACACTTGCGCGCTCTACTGTTTACCTACCTAGTTCAGAACTTTGCATCCCTTTTAACTGTAGAACGTTTTTTCTCGACTTTTTAACAGCCATAAAACGCATCTTCCAACCCTTTCGGGCCTTCTTATTTACCTGAATGACAGATTTTTTGGCTACCCTTTCATACAAGGGAAATCTTTCTCCTTTCATATACCTGAAGCAATTGCAAAACAAAGTCACCCCTTTGAGTTTGGGCGGAGCCGCCCCCGTAATCAGCCATTATAGGGAGTACCCACCCCCCCCCTCCCGGAGGGGGCAGTGTTTGGCCAATGACAGTCCTTTTTCAGCTTTTCGAAAACAAGACTAAACCCGACTAAATCGCTTTGTTTTACCAGCGATGACATTTTATAAAATAAAGCAGTGCCGTTCTCGATCAAAATAGGCTGGTTTAGCAATAGAACGGGAATGTCAGTTGACGACGGCGCGCACAAATCAAAGGACTGGCTTGATTAATGGTAGAGCTGCAAATTGCGCACCGGAAGTCGAATTTAGTCTTTTCCGCGCACTTTCCCGTAGTCGACTTTCACGGTTCTGTTGCTAAATTAGCCTATTAACTTTCCCGCGCCCGCCTGCTCAACTTATAAACAAAGGCCAATTACTGAACAAAGAAACAGAAAAATGTTGAACTCGGGCAAAGTTGTTGACAGCGCCTTTAAATAATTCTCTTTATGGTCAAGAAATCTTGTTAAAAAGATACCCACAGATATATATTTCATTCGAATTGAAGTTAAATACACCTTTACATGAAGCATACATGAAGTAAAAATAAGAAAATGGTCAAAGAGTACTGGCAAATGGCGGCCGTTCGAATCCCTTAGAAATCGGTTTACATCCAAGACGTTTTCTGGAAATTTTCTACTCGCTGTCTACCCCTCACCGGCTCAGGATAAATTCAAAGAAAAAAAACCCAGTGTTTATCGTCTTTCTTGGTTTGAAAGACTATGATGGTTTATTAAAGGCAGACGATCGCTGTCACGCCACTGTTCACAAGGGTCTGCAAACTTTGGTTTGAATCTGCTGCATGTGGGAATTCATACAAAAGAAGTTGGTGTGTAGGCGGATAAGTTGTCCTTGATCGAAGGTAAGATCTTGAATGATGTTTATCGTTTTATATTTATAAACCGGTGGTCATACCCGTTAAGAAAACACCAGAGAAAACATTACCAGTACATGTAACTCCCAATCAGTGTCAAAGAACCCCTGCTGAAAGTCGCTGAAATCCTGTAATTCCGCCATATTTGACATACCTCTGAGATCTCCAATCTGGAGAGAAATGGAACTGTCAGGAGTAATAATCGACAGGTTTCGGTAAATGTTGTGTTGTGATGAATTCACAATCACTCAGCTCCAAATAATCTTCGATTCGATGTCGGGTCATTTTGTCGGGTTCGTGACCAAATAACATCGACCTTAGGTGCGGGAGGTCAGAGTAGAGACTTACATCTCATTACTTGGCACAGGTGTCCCAAGCTTATGTTACAGGTGTGTTATACAAGAGAGTTGGTGTTGCGTTACAAGCGGCCGTTGACACTCTTTGTAAGAGAAATAAAATACTGAGGTCTGTGAAGGCTAAATATCATCATTTTTACTTTTGTTCTACAAAGAAAATAAAGGAGACTTACCTTTGATGTATTAGTGTGTTTTTTGGTGTGAATTCATCGATTTAGTTGGTTTTTTGGCTGCTATTGTGTGACCCCTGTCACTCTTGTCACACAATAACAGCGAAAAAAAACGACAAAATCGATGAATTCACACCAAAAAACAAAGGAATACATCTCGGCCCTCAAATAAAGTAAATCCTGCATTCCGTAAAACCAATTAGGGACCCTCCATTATGGCTCAAATGCGAGGCTAGCGTGTTAACTTCCTGGATGCCATGGGGAAGTCTTTGCGACATACATGTATGTATACATGTAAAGAAAGCATAGATTCATGGTACTTGATTTTGGGTTATTTGCACTTACGTAAGATTGGAACAAAGCAACAGATTTTTTTAACAAGTTCGAGAGCCATGGTAACCTACACTGTGTCAAAAAATGAAAAAATGACCATAGCTTGTTCGGGTACATAGATATTGATGGAATTATT